AGTCAAATAGGGGTACATTTTGCTATTTGCACCACCTAGTCAAACTTGCAATTAATAATTTGGTAATTTAAAATTTAATTAATTAATACATTAAAAAGAAAAATGTTACCTTCTCCGGTGAGAAGGTTGCCTTCTCACCGGAGAAGGCACTGCCTTCTCACCGGAAAAGGCACTGCCTTCTCACCGGAAAAGGCACTGCCTTCTCACCGGAAAAGGCAATTGGGCTACCTTCTCCGGTGAGAAGTCGGCTCAGTGGGTCGCCTTCTCACCGGAAAAGGCAACCCAGGCAGATTTCTACCTGGGTTGCCTTCTCCGGTGAGAAAGCAACCCACAGTGAGTTGCCTTCTCAACGGAGAAGGCAGCCCAGTTGCCTTCTCCGGTGAGAAGGCACTCCTTCTCACCGGAGAAGGTGACGTTTACGTTTTTTTTTTTTTTTGTTAAATTTCGCCTCTTTGCCTTCTCGATTTTTTGAATAAAAATTTATTTTAAATATCTGATTTCAATACAAAAAAAAATACATAGATTTTATAAGTTTGTAATTTGAATAGATATTTTTTTTAAGTTTATAATTTCAATACATATTTTTTAGTTAATATTGATATTTGTGAGATGAAACCATTGGTAATTTGGACGGCAGGAAATATAGATTGGACTCAAATGACTCTATATATATGTGGGGTGTGTGTGCTGTATATGTCTCATATAATCTATAAGCTATGGACGGTTGGATTGAAGATTTTTTTAGCTACAATGATCAAAATCAAAGACAATTTCTTAGTTACAATGATCAAAATCAACAACATTATGAGGTAATTTAATTTTTTATTTGAATTGTTACTGAAATGTTACAATTGAACTTACGTATATTTGTTCATTGCTTTTATATATTATTTAGAAATTTAAGTTCATTGCTTTTACATATTATTTAGAAATTTAACTACGTATATTTATTTTTTTATTAGAAAATTCATTGCTTTAATATATCAAGAGTTGTTTTTTGTTTGCCTATTTAGGACGAAAATGCAATCGAACTTTATGATGACAATAGATCAAGTGAACCTAAATTTCGAGGTTGCATGCGAATGGTCTACAGAAACGGTAAAACAAAATTCATACGCAGATCATAGTTCCATATTGATTTATATATATGCATAGGATCTTTCTACTATATTCTTTTGTTTTAATATTATTATTAACTTGTAAGCATGTAAGCAACAACATTTTTGTATATATTGTGCTTTAATTAGTACGTATACTTAATTTCTGTGTTTTTTTTTTAAATATGTTGGTATACATGCATGTAGTCATTCACGCCATATTATTATTATTATTATTATTATTATTATTATTATATTATTATTATTATTATTATTATTATTATTATTATTATTATTATTATTATTATTTAGAACCAAACAAGGCAAAAAAAAAGGTATAGTCATATATAATACTAGGTATAGTCATATTTTTATTATTGATACAAATAATTTTTTTATTAGGCATTCATGTCTCGCGAAGATTTAATTGAATGGGTTCAAAGTAGAGGTCAGGATCTCGGATATGTTATTGTGATTAAAAGGTCCCGGAATAAGAATAAGAGCCCTACAATTATATTTCAGTGTGACCGTGGTGGTGCTTACCTGCCAAAAAAAATCTCATCCAAAAACACGGGTACAAGAAAAATTGATTGTCCATTCCAATTGGAGGGGAAATACATACTTGTTGATGGTTGCTGGAGGGTAAGGGTAATATGTGGAGTACATAATCATGATCCTGCGCTGCACCTTGAAGGTCACCCTTATGCAAGGCGATTATCAGGAAATGAAGTCGAATTGGTGGAAAATTTGTCAGCGATGCATGTGAAACCACGAGACATTTTAACGTCTGTGAAGAGGCAAAATCTGGAAAATGTTTCCATCACAAAAACCATATACAATGCATGCCAAAAATTTCGGATGATGGAGAAAGCACGTAAAACTCAAATGCAAGTTGTTATGTCTTTTTTACATAACAATGGTTATGTGCATGAGAGTCGAACTAATATTGCAACAAATGAGTTAGAAGATTTGTTCTTTGTGCATCCTAAATCTTTGGAGAAGTGGCGTGCATTTCCACATGTGTTGTTAATAGATGCGACGTATAAAACAAATAGGTACTCGATGCTCCTCGTCGAAATGGTTGGTGTAACTTCGACCAACATGACATTTTGCGTAGCGTTCGCCTTCATGCTCAAAGAGAATGAGTCCACTTATGCTTGGGCATTAAATTATCTCAAAGCCACAATTGAGGGATGCATTACCCCGCGTGTTATCGTCACGGATTGAGAGTTGGCATTGATGAAAGCATGTAAAAATGTGTATCCGGATGCTAAAGGATTACTTTGTAGATGGCATATCTATAGAAGTATTTTGAGAAAGTGCAGGCCATCGATACCATCCAACCATCATTGGAATTTATTCTACCAATCATGGAACGCATTAGTTGAGTTTCAGTCTCATGAAACATATATGTCTCGTTTAGCTCAACTAAAAGCAGTTTTGGTTGAATTTCCAAGTATTATTCAATGTATATTTAATATTTTTCTAATAAGGCATATTTGTTCAACTAATGCAATTATTCCTATTTTCAGGTGTTTTTGGTTATATTGATGATAATTGACTGCAACCGTATAAAGAAATGTCTGTATCTGTTTGGACTGATCGATATCTCAATTTTGGAAATCACACCACGAACAGAGTTGAGAGTCAGCATGCCAAGTTAAAAAAGTACTTGGAGTCATCACAGTCAGATTTGGAGACATCATTGGATTATATCGACAGAGTCATTCAGTCACAAGACACATCAATCAAATCAAGTCTTGAACAAAGCAAAATTGTCATTCGACATCGGTTCAACACTTCACACTTTCAAGAATTGCGTGGATTTGTGTCTATTCATGCACTGAATCTCATTTTTAATGAGTTTGCGAGGTCACAAGTTGGCAGGTTTACTTTTGAAAATTGTGGATGTCGATTGCGAACAAGTTGTGAGCTTCCATGTGCACACGAGCAGGTAACATATTTTAATTGTGGTAAGCCCATTGCACTTGATTCGATTGATATATTTTGGAGGAAGCTCGACTTATCATCTTCCATCTCTCTAACCAATGAGGATTTTGGTGTTGAGCAAGAGCTTCATATGTTTAAGTGCAAGATGTGAGAACTGACGGAAACTATGGATTTCGAGCAGTAGCTCTATGTCTTGGTTTTAAGGAGGACGAATGGTTCAAAATTTGATCCAATTTAATTGAAGAACTAGAGTCTCACAAGATGGAAAACACCAATATGTTTGGAACTCAAGGATGGTATAATGTCTATAACATGTTGAATTTTTTTGCACAAGATCGGTGTGCACCAGTTGAGCACTGGATGACTATACCGGAGATGGGTGTACTAATTGCTTCCAGGTACAATGTGATACTGCATGTTTTGAGTATGGCCGGCAGTACAACATATTTACCACTCCGATCTAGCCCACCACCTTGGTACGAGCATGTAGCGATAGCCCTTAGTTATGTTAATAATAACCATTATGTTAAGGTAATATTGACAGGAGGGTACCCAATGCCTACTATTGCTCCACAATGGGCTTATTTTAGATATGATTGTGCAAATGCATGGATTACTCCATATATGAATCAGATTGAAAGTTACAATGAGCATGTACGCTCTAATTGTACTCGGGAAAATGTTATATTAGATTGAAATTGAATGAATTTGTTTTTTATTTTTTTTATTGTGATGTTAATGTATTTTTACATTTTTAGCGATTCAAATTTAATATTATTATATGTTTATAAAAAAGATAAAAAAAAATATATACAACAAATTTTAGTTCTAAAGAATATTAAAATAACAAAATTAATTATTATTATTTTTATTTAAAAATTAAACCATAAACAAAAACAAGTATTGAAAATAGAAAATTAAAAAAATGTATTGAAAAAAAAGATATATTGAAAATAGAAATAATTTTTTTTTTGTTGAAAATAAAAACTTAAAAAATAGAATAATTAGACATTTAAAAAAAAAAAAAAAAAACTCTCGTCACCTTTTCCGGTGAGAAGGCAGCCTGCCTTCTCACCAGAGAAGGTGACGGGAGTTTTTTTTTTTTTTTTTTTTTTTTTTTTTCTAAATTTTAATATTTTTAATTTAAAAAAATGAAAAACAAATAATAATCTTTGACCATATTTAATGCTGGTGGTGTAAATAGTAAATTTGCATTTATATCACCTATAAAGCTATGGCAAATTATGCCCTGGAAACGTATTCACCGTGAATGGTGAACACAAGGCCAAACGACGTCGTTTTTAGGCAAAAAAAAAAAAAAAATTGCGGATGTGGAGTTAACCGTGCGCGTTGATCAAATTATGAATTTTCTGTTATGAGATTATGAATTTTCATAAAATTCATAATCTCATAACAGAAAATTCATAATCTCATAACAGAAAATTCATAATCTCATAACTGAAAATTCATAATCTTATAACAGAAAATTCATAATCTCATGGTTCCAAAGTGAATGTGTAGGCATGGTTCCAAGTGAATGTGCAGGCATGGATTCATAATTTATGAATGTCCGTGATTTCGGATGGGAATGTGTAGGCATGGTTCCAAAGTGAATGTGCAGGCATGAATTCATAATTTATGAATGTCCGAAATCATTGTTCACCTCAAATTAAAGTGAAACCACAAAATGTAAAAATGAAGAAAAAAAGTCACGCAATTAATTAAGAAGAAAAAAAAAATAACGGTGTACTAACACCGTTAGAACCGTGTTCACCATGAATGGTGAACACGATTCCATGGCATAACGCTCCTAAAACTATTTGACTTACTAAATAGGTGGTGTAAATAGAATTTTCTATAGAATTTCCCTTTTAATTATACTTTAGTTTCATTTGACAATCATGGCCCATATATAACTATGGACCATTGTCCACTTTATAACAACCCCGCTAACCCTCGGCTGCACTAGCGCCGCGATTATGCTACAGCCATTCCGTATAAGGCTATAAATTGCCCATCCTAAAACCCTCTGTCTTCATCCTTCCGCTTCATTTAGATCGGGTTTTGGTTCCATCTTCGTCGCAGGTCGCAAACGATACGCTGTTGCTTTAATTGCTGTTCCCTATCCCGTTTCCTTCTCGATCTGTATTTTAGTTTTGTGTAATCATGATTTATTGCACTTGTTTTTCTCTCCATAGATGTGACGATTCACTGTTATCGGGGCGAGCAATCGGTGTGCTTGTATAACCCGTGTGTAAAAATTGTCACAGATCGAGCTTCCTTTGTCGAGGGGGAGTGGATGAGACGGTTCATACCGTTTCTTCCTCTTCTACAGTCCGAAGGGGGCGATCTCATATCCTATCGTCTTGGAGAGCAGATTCTCTGCGGTGACCTCTTGGGCTTGGCCATGAGAAATACATTCATTCTTCAATACATATATATATATCTTTGCATTTTGTCTCATTCGTGTTTAGCAACTGATTGATGATTTGGCCTGTGAAGAAATATTCATTAAAATTACACCATCTTTCGGGACTGAATGGCCTAAAGGCCTTGCTGTTATTCTGCAATTCTGAGGCCTTATTTTATCTTTGTTTTTCAGTGGAAGACCAAAATATTTTCAAATCTTAAGTTGGATTTTGTTTGTGTTTTGAATTTTGAGCTAAATAAATTGTTTATATCTGGTCGCTACTGTGCTCTGCGTCTGTGTAATTGGAATTATTACACCGGCCGGCGTGCTTATGGACGGTCAAGTGCTGCTCAGCTTAACATACAGCAACACTTAACATTAATTCATAAGCTATAATTATGATTTGCCACCTTGTCTTTCCAGTCTTTCCTATACTTCTTCTCAGGGATGGCTATCCGCGCTGTGGCTCACATTCTCGCACCATATTTAGTCTTTGACTATCACGAGTATTGTTTTACTGCCGAATGATAATATCTTCGCAATAGTTTGCCGGAAAGAAAATACTATATTCCGGCAGACAGTGGATAAGCCTCTTCTTCACTGTCTCTATTTTTTTATTTTTTTTTTAAATCACACGGTGGTCTGGGTCTTTCTCCGTCTGTTTAACGGTAAGTCTGAGGCGGTCCAAAAGGAATTGTCACTTGTGTGGAAATCGAACTCGGATTATCCTGAAATTCTTTCCCACAAAGAGAACTCATTTGCCACTTGAGCTACCCTGTTGGGTCACTGTCTCTCTCTATACACAAACAAAAAGTACACAGAACCCTTGAAAAGGGTTGTTGAATGACAGTAGAAAGAAACCATTTGCTAACCAGAGAAGAGCAACCACCTAAAGAGAATTAACCAGAGAAGAGCAACCACCTAAAGAGACTCAAATTCTCTGTAAAGCCTCAATGTTAGAGCTGAAATTTTATGAACAAAATAGAATGGTCTATGTAAGGAGTACAAGTCTCCATCCCACTCCAACCAACTGATAGGACGGATCAATCAAACTTTGAGGATAACATAAACATCGCCCTAACTCTTTCCATGATCGTTGAGCTGAGGTAGCTCTTGAACAACGACTCCACTAGGATCAAGTCAGGTTGCAGCAACTTTGCAGTTCAAGACCCAAATTAAATGTTAGTGTTGCGTCCTCTCTTCCTTGCACGATGAAGATGTTCTTCAGATTTTCCATAGGTCGTCTACAGATGGCACTTCTGCCGAATATATGAAGTCCACTATGGCACTATGCGATACAGTCACCGTAAAATTGGCAGATGAGATAGATGTAGTAGAGCCGTAGAGGGTGTCCTGATGCCCAATGAAGTAGCTGTTTAAGAAGACCAACAAGTCGGAACCACTCCTAAGCACACTGCCCAGAGCTTTTCCGGCCTGGCATAGTTCTCGAATGTTGATCGTTATACCATTTGTGATGAACCCAATTCCAACCATACCTACAAATTTTTACATGTTAGATTTGTATCGATCCATTTTTTAACGTATTATATTCGTATCAATCTTTATCTATCGTTGCCCAAAAATTAACAATTTCCGGTGATTTATTGCCTGAAATATGATGGGAAGGATTAAATGTGTACCAAATGTGTCAAAATTAATAGTTGAAGATTAAATGTAGTAAGGCCTATCGTTATGCCATGGAACCGTGTTCACCATTCATGGTGAACACAGTTCCAACGGGGTTAGTACACCATTATTTTTTTATTTTTTTTTTAATTAATTGCGTGACTTTTCTTCTTCATTTTCACATTTTGCGGTTTCACTTTAATTTGAGGTGAGCAATGATTTCGGACATTCATAAATCATGAATTCATGCCTTCACTTTGGAACCATGTCTACACATTCCCGTTCGAAATCACGGGCATTCATAAATTATAAATCCATGCCTGCACATTCACTTTGGAACCATGCCTACACATTCACTTTGGAACCATGAGATTATGAATTTTCTATTATGAGATTATGAATTTTCTGTTATGAGATTATGAATCTACATTACATTCATAATCTCATAACAGAAAATTCATAATTTAATAAATATTTTACTTTTATACGATTATGAATTTTCTGTTATGAGATTATGAATGAATTTTCATTACATTCATAATCTCATAACAGAAAATTCATAATTTGATCAAACGCGCGCCGTTAACTCCACATCTACGATTTTTTATTTTTTTATTTTTGCCTAAAAACGACGTCGTTTGGACTTGTGTTCACCATTCACGGTGAACACGTTTTCGGGGCATAATTTACCGCAATTTTGGCCAAATCTTGGGCCTGGGCTGGTCTTGTATTGAGCCTGGATTGGGTTTGGGTCTAGTTTAGCATTGATTAGAATTGGCCCAACCTATCTCGAGCTGGTCCCATGTGCGGTCTACCTTGGGCTGGTCCTGAGTTTCTTGTGGACTGGTTCTGGATTACATCCAGAATTTTTTTAAAAATTTTTATATAAAATATAAACTATTATAAATGTTTTTTTGTTTGAAATGAAATTTAAACCATTGACCTTAAAGTAACGAATGTTCTTATCACTTAAAGTATTCAATTTTTTGATATAGTAATGTGTTTGTGTATATAGATTTCTAATCAAGTGAAAACAAGGTGTTAGATAAGAACGTGTGGTCTTTTGTTGGCCCTTGATTTTGGGTGATCTAAGGGTAGATATTTATTGTGCAATATGTCTAGTTATTTGCACTGTGCACTATGTAATAGTTGTTTGCACTATGCAAATAATGAATTGCACGGATCTAATCCTGGCCATGCAAAATTAAACATACATTCAACCGTGTGGTCTTTTGTTGGCCCTTGATTTTGGGTGATCTAAGGATTTATATTTACTGTGCAATATGTCTAATTATTTGCACGGTGTAATATGTATAGTTGTTTGCATTGTGGAATTAATGAATTGAACGGATCTAATTATGGTCGTGCAAAATTAAACATTCAATGGTGTGAATTTGACCACACATTCTCACCTAACACATTGTTTTCACCCGTTGGGAACATATATATATATATATATATATATATATATATATATATATATATATATATATATATATATATATATATAGATTTTAGATCCAGGGAGACCACCCCAATCAGGTGAGATCATGCCTAAGTTGCGGACGGATGCAGCACAACGGTGCCAGTTGCGATGATTGTCTAGTTTAAAATCACTTTTGTCTGATCTAGTGATTGAGACAATTAAAATGGCGTTTGCTTGTTCTGGGATCCTTTGATAGTTTGTTTTGAATCATTCGGTTTAGACATTACTTCGGTGTTTCTTAAGACTTTCCTTTCAAAATGGCAGCAACATACCTTTTTTTTTTTTTTATTTCTTTCTACCAAAGAATCCTACAAACGGTGGATTCCCGCATAATACACTTCGAATGGAAAAAGTTTGATCAAGTCTAATAACTTTTTGGAAACCTTTTTGGAAACTTGCTCGAATTGGATTCTTTCTATATCGAAGATATGTTTACGAAGTTGTTCCAATTTATTGATTGGTATTAACCCTAGATCCCTGCCCTAAAAAAAACTAACTACTCGAGCTTCATCATGAACTATTTCCATGAAAACCCAACAAGGGTTCTTGTGGAACAGAACAAATGATGTCGAGCCTAGAGCATCTTCATTCCTATATCAAATGGTGGATGTAACAATCCACAACGGATTGTGGCCTTCAAGTTGCACGTTGCTTAAGTTGCGGACGGATGCGGCACGATGGTGCCTAAATTGCGGACGGATGCGGCACGATGGTGCCTAAGTTGTGGACGGATGCGGCACGATGGTGCCTAAGCTGTGGACGGATGCGGCACGTTGGTGCCTAAGCTGTGGGCTGATGCGGCATGATGGTGCCTAAGTTGCGGACGGATAAATGATGAAAGAGTAATTGTATTTTGGTTATATTTAAAATAGAATCTTTACCAGTATATTAGGGACCCTATCAATGGTAATAATTAATTATATTTTGTACATTTGTAATTTTAAATTATGGGAAATTTTACGATGGTGTGTGTGTGGATGTGGAATGGTGTGTGCGTTATACTGGACCAGCAGTTGTTCACCATGGCGTGCTTTTTCTTTCTTTTTTTTTTTTTAAAAAAAAATTGTGTTTTGATGTGTGCGTTTCTTGTTACGGGCGTGTGCGTAACGTATCCAAAAGAAAACAACTATACGAATATAATTTGGGTTTTGGTGTTTGAATTTCAAGTAGTTAATCAATGCATAGTAGCTAAAGTATTGTGCATGTTTTTTTTTTTTTTTTTTTTTTTTAAGGTTTCGGCATTTGAATTTCAAGTAGTTAATGTGTGCATAGTAGATATAGTATTGTGCATGTAGGTTCTTTTTTTTTTTTTTTTTTTTTTTTTTTTTTTTTAAATTGAGGGGAATTTTTACAGTGGTGTGTGCATGGGTGTAGGATGACGTGTGTGGTTTTCTGGACCAGAAGCTGTTCACCATAAGATGTTGGCTATTTCCCCAGAATTATGCGTTTTGGTATGTGCGTTTAATAGTTACGGGCGTGTGCGTAACATACCCAAAAGAAAATGACTATATGAATATAATTTGGGTTTTGACGTTTGAATTTCAACTATATAATCAGTGCATAGTAGCTATAGTATTGTGCATGTCAGGTTTTTTTTTTTTTTTTTTTTTTTTAAATTGTGGGGATTTTTTTACAGTGGTGTGTGCGCGGTTGTGGAATGGTATGTGCGTTTTTCAGTAACAGCAGTTGCACACCATGACGTGCTGATTTTTTTTCCTAAAATTATGTGTTTTGGTATGTGCGTTACGTGATACGGGCATGTGCGTTATTGGTTTCGGGCGTGTGCAAACATATCCAAAAGAAAAAAATATATACAAATCTAATTTGGGTATCGGCGTTTGAATTTCGAGTAGATAATCAGTGCGTAGTAGTAGATATAGTATTATGCTTGTATTTTTTTTTTAAATTGTGGGGAATTTTACGGTAGTGTGTACACGTGTGTGTAATAGCGTGTGCGGTTTTCTGTAACAGGAGGTGTACACCATGGCAAAATATAAAACACAAACACACCATTCAATTTCACACTCACGCACACACTACCGTAAAATTTCCCATAATTTAAATTACA